CACAACAGCATCATAAAATTAACAACAAAGAGTAAGGCAATCTCTCTGTCTGTTTGGTACAATCTTCAACACAATCAACAATATAACAACTAGCATATTACAATTAATAAGAAAAAATGAATAATTGAATATACCTGACCAAGAAGAGCAGGAACATTATCACGATCTCCTTCCAAGACAATCTTAAACGCAGCAAATGCCTGTTCTACTTCACCTTTTGCCAGAAGAAGCTGGCCTGTAAGCAGTAGAAATTGATTGAAGTTAAAAGCATTTCAAACAACATGAGTTACCCAAACAATATGAAACAATTCAAGACCCTATTTGCAAGAAACAAGAATGATAGTAATACAGGTTATCTACAAGTGAATCATAAATTCATACATGAACAGGACTAGACATCAAGTATAACTGTATAATCTGATGTCAACAGGAAAAGTAGCAAAAATATACTTCAAATTAAAACCCAGTTCAAGATTGATCACCCAATGTCTGCATTATAAGTAGGACTTCAATTAGATATGTGATAACATAACAAAACGCAAAAATGTTCACCTTTCCCAACCCAAGTCGAGGGCTCGTGCATATCAATTCTTGATGCTTTATTGTAATACTGAGTAGCCAAAATAAAATGTTCCTCCTTTTCTCTTTGTTTTGTTTCAATTTTTCCAAGGTAGCTGTAATAAGCCCCTAATGCATTTAGGATAGCAATCCTTTCGTACCTAACATCAGCATAATATTCATCAATTTCTGCAACAAAAAAAACCTATAATCAGATCACGGGTATAACATTATCAGTTATAGCAAATTCAAGAAAATCAGTAACATTTTACTAAAGTACACAAAAGAACATGAATAAGAAAATGCATAAATACCAGGACTGGATCCTTCTTCGAGAATTTGTCGAAATTGTTCAATCTTTCCTTGTTTAAAGTACTCCCTCTACACAATTAAAAAAAAAAAAAGAAAGATAATAAATGAAAAGTAAATTTTAAAAACTAAACTTAGAGACAAGTCTTACAAAAAAAAAACTAATATTTCAAAATTCAACGAATTTTTCCAAGCATTTAAAATAACATTTTGGAAAGATAAGAAATAAAGAAAGAAAAAAAAAACCCTAAAAACGTCACCGTGATTGTGAGGAATTCTCAAGTTAAACATGAAAGATTTGAAGGAATTAAAAAAAAAAAAAAAAGCGAACCGCGATGATGAGCCAAAGATCTAGAGGAGCTTGTTCGGCTTTGAGGATATCGAGAATATCAGAAGCGTCTCGGGGAAGCTGATCCAGAGCCACCCGCACTTCCTCTTCTGAGTTCTGAACCGGTATATATACGCATGCCATGGTTTCCAGATTGAGACTGGAAATTTTCCGAAGAAAAAGAAACTAAGAAATTAATTCGACATAAACCCTAACTACAACCTATCCCTGTTTGTGAGCCAATCGGAGTGAACGCAGGAACCGGATAGTTCTTCTTCTTGGAGCGTGTTTTTTATAATTTCGTTTTATTATCGTTGGCCAGGGTTTCGCACATAATTAATCGAGCACCGACTTAATTAATAAACTTATTTAAAAATTAATTTAAAATTATAATAATAAAATACAATTAAAATATTTATGTGTTATTTAAAAAAAAACTAATTTTTTCAAAACATTTTTTTATAGCAAGTTACTTCATTTTTTTTTTTTTGGTTATCTAGTTACTTTTGATTCGTATATATACAGACCTGTTATAGTGTTACTGAACTAACTTATACGACACCGTTTTAACCTGTTTGCAAAATATCAAATCCCTAAAGCCTCTGTTCTCGCCGTCATGTTTCCTGCTAGAACTTGTGCGTTACAATCCAGACCCCAAAACGATGCCCCTCTTAAATGGTAAACCGAAAAATCTTTGCTCAAACTCGAACTCTCCCCATTGATTTCCACTTTTTTTACTTTACAATCCTGTTTCATTTTCTATTCTTTTTTTGCCCTAGGATTTTCAATTGGCAGCCCAATGCAGGATCAACCGTGAACGGCCAGATCCTAAACGAAGTTTTGCAATGCGTCGAGAGCATCAATGGCGTCAAAGAAGGTCGTTGGAAAGCTACTCTCACTTTTTACAAACCCATGTTACGAGGTCATCTCTCTTTCTTTTTCTTTTTCTTTTTTTCCTTGTTTTCTAATTCGATTTATGGGTTTTTAACTATGTTAGTCTTCAGATCAAGCGGTAGCCACCGAGTTCCAGCGTGAATTCCTCGGGATTTCGCTTCCAGAGCAACCCAACAAGTACTGTTTCATACTTCGAAGTCATAAGATTGTCCTGGAAGCGGATTCTTCTATTCAGTTGATAATGGAGAAATTGCAAATCTTATAAATCCAGGGTCGCCCTTAATATCGAGGTATGCGATTTTACTTCTCTTTTCAGTTCCATTTTTTTACTGATCGTTGGGGTTTCTAAGCAATGGTTTTGTTTTCCAGTGTCATTGTTTTACTTTGCAGGGGTTTCAATACCAAGTAGGCGACTTTCAATTGAGAGTAGGGAAAGTTGTACCTACTCGTTCTGAAAATTTGAGAGCAATAGTAATGGAGGTATTAGTTGTCTTGTACTTTAAAACATATTTTTCAATGCTGGTGTCATTTTCTCTTAGAGCAGTGCCATAAAGATTGGAAAACAAGTTGATGTTGATTCTTCACTATACCCAATACTAGTCTCTAGTGGATAGATAGGGTTTCAGTAATTGTTAATCAGAACCGGTGTGCAAATTATTGCACTTCTGGAAGTTCATACTTTTCTGGGATGTCAAGTGTTTCTGATGTCGTATTTGATAGCAATCTGTTGCCAAAAGTTTTACATTTGCTTCAACATTGGATACTGGTTTTATGTTCTTTACTTCTTTTATCAAAATCAGTGCAAAACTTGGTACACTTTTGTCATCCTGTCTCTAGGTTGAATTATTCGGGGTTGTTGCCCTGGAACGTTGAGAAGTTGTTCGGTGTTTGAAGCTTTCAAGTATGGTAACATCAGTAGCTGTCAAACTAATTGAGTGAAGTTTGAGTAGTTACTATTTTGAATAGTTGAACCATAATTGGTTCCAATTAAAGTTGCTTCTTCCTTTGCAGGTGGAGTATCTTCCACTTTCTTCACTAGAGAAATCCAGACTAATCATAGAGGAGTTCGTTGATATTTGGCAAGATGCTGTGTCCAAACGATCATTGCCAGGCCATTTTATGCATATAGAACCAAACTTCTCGGATTATGGCCTTGCAGACCACTGTACTTCACAACACACGGCTGTTCAGTACGCTCAAGTCATGGCTCAACTAATTGCAACAGTGCAAGCAGTACAAGCTGCAAGAAATTAGGGACATTGATAGTCCATTAAAGCCCAGAGAGATGCAGAGAGTTTAAGATGATCATGTATGCTACTTGTATGACCGGAGCCTTTCTCAAGTAGTTGAAAAGGTGGTGTTGGGGGTTCTACTCATGTTTTCTTTGCGTCATATTCTTTTAACTTAATTAATTGCTCTTCAGTTTGTAGAAAATTTAGAAAGGAACATGTAAAGTAAATGGAAGAAGAAGAGAGAGACTTAGCGTAAGCTTAGACACAAACATGGATGTAAATGTAATGTAACAATAAGCCACCCTAACCTGGTATCAAGGAATGCTCCCAAATTGTTTAAATGAATTGGACACTTGAGCATTTGGCCAATGATCGATGCATGTTTTTTTTTTTTTTAAGAGTTAAAGTTCAAATCTTTTCATATGTTGAATGACGAGGGACTTTAGCACCTGCAATATTTATCGCTGTTTCCAGTTATGGTTTTTTTGAAAGATAAATTTCATAAATATATATTTATGGTTAAAATCGAGGTTTTAAACGTAACATTTAATTATCATATAATTTATTTTATTATTTTTTATTTAAATTTTTTTTTTCATTTGAATTTATATTCTTTTTCTAAATATTTATTTTCCTCTTCAAAACCAAATTAATTCTCTCTAAATTCAAATCAGTCCTCAAACAACAACTTTCATTAGAAAATATCCATTTTACTTTCAATAAATCACTAAAAAATATTCATTTTACTGTCAATAAACAGAAAGCTGCCAAGAATCGAATTAACATTCAAACTTTGCCCTAATTCTCAGTTTTAAACAGACAAGAACAAAACCCAGCAATCGGTAGCCTTCTGCCCTTGTCACTTTCGTATGACACCGTCGGCCATCACCTATTGCTACCGACTACTTCTTACAATGTCAAAAACTCTTCACATTCCTCTCTCTTTAAACTTTCAAATCTTAAACAAAAAAATTAATCCAAAAACTGGTGCTACTTATCTTCTATCCATCCATGCCGCACTATTCAACAATTTCGAAAACTCTAATCAAATCCTCTTTTTCTCTCTTCCGCTTCTTTTTTCTTTAGAATTTCTTAGGTCTCTAGCACAAATCTAGATCAAAGCACTAAATAAAAATTGCTACCATTTTAAAATTTTCTTGCTTGGATGATAATTTTTTAATTTTATGATTGAATTTTTTATTGCTGATTTTTCTTTAAGGTTGTTTACTGAAATTTTGGTTTTGTTTTTGAATTGTTCTGTTGAGACTTTGTCGGTAAATTTTTTACTACTTGTGTTGTAAAATTTGACTTTTTATATTGATTCGATTTTTGACAGTTTCTTATTTGTTGACAATAAAATAGATATTTTTTAGTGGTTTGAATATTGGGTTTTGTGGGTTGCTGTGAGTTTAGAAAAAAAATTGATTTGATTTAAAAAATAAATAAATTTTTAGAGTGAGAAAGTATAAATTTAGATGAAAAAAATAAAAAATAAAAAACGATTTTGAATAAAAAAATAAAAAATAAATTATAAGATAATTAAATATCGTATTTTAAATCTTAAAGATATTTTTATTTGGATCTGATCTTATTTACAGGGTAAATGTATTAAATTAATTTATTTTTAAAAAATTTAAGGGTATTTTAATCCTTTAAGCATGAAATAGAACGGAATTGATGTCTAAACCGACAAAATCTCACAGCACCAGAGGCGCATTTTCCTTTTTTGTTTTTGGTGCCAAAGATGAGTCACCTAGGTTTCAGTTACACATATAAGTACTCCACGTTAGATCACGATACAAGATTGCTATTCTAGTTGGCCGCTTTTTACCACTTTCTTTTCTTTGTGACTACCTCTCTGCTCTGTTTCCATCAAACAAAGTTTAACATCCCTCACAATCACATCTCAATTCAATTCTCCTTCTTTATCAGATCCACCTAGGTTATATTCGGACATCAAGTAATCCTTTTCTTCATCCAATGGAACAACAAAACTACAAAACCCAGGCCCCCAGGAAGGTTTGTTTCAACACCTTTATTAACTTAATATCTATGGTTGAACTGTTGATCATTGTCCTATCTATGTTCTCTGACGATATTTTTTTTCTGGAGTGTTGCAGATGAGATTTGCACCGAAAGCTCCTCCTCGACAAGCACCAAAGCTTGAGGTTAAAACGTATATATCATTTGGCACTTGGATTGCAGTGCAAGGTGCCCGTTTTTTTTACCTTGAAACCGCCTTTTTAATCTGTATGTTCGCCTTTTTTTTGTTTTTTGTGGTTTCAGTGAAGTGGTGGAAGACATTGATGCTGTTCAGGCCAGGGATTTGCTGCAGCGTTTAAATGTACATGTGCTTGCCAGTTTTTTATTGCCATTTTCTAAATGTTTATTTGGCATTGATTTCCTTGTTATGTTCTTCTCCTTTGATCTTTTTGTTTCTTTTCTGACAGCAAACTTCGGCAAAGACAAAGCCTAAAATTGAAAAGAAAGGTAAATTCTTCATAATGATGGGATGCTTTTGAATATCTAATTCAGAAATTTATTCCACAGATAAGTATTGGAATACATTTATGAATTAGGATGTACTTTTAGTTTCTATTTTGCTTCTTCAGCTGTCCGGTCCTTCGTATTCTTTCTGTGGAGCTAAACATAAATAACAATTAAATCGTTGCCTAAATTTCCTACAGATAGAACAATTCTATTCCATAAGATTGCATTTCATTGAGAAAATTTGAAGTTTATAACAACCCAGAAGCAGAGTGCGTATAAGAGTGTAAACGTTAAGAATGAGAAATATAGACATGACATGATGAATGGCAGCATTGCAATAAGAGGAAGGAAGCTTGTTTAGTTTTCATTGTAATAGTCTTTCTTACCTTTGTTCGAAGAAGTTCCTGAACATATTTTGGCAACATTTTTTGAAAGAAACTAAAAAGGTCTCTTGCCTTTGTTGTTATGCAAAGTTGCATGGTATCATTAGTGCAAGGACTTAATTCAGGCATAGTTGTGCCTCATTTTTCTTCAATATATTTTGGCCATCCTGTGCTTTGAAATCTGATACAACCAACACCTTAAATAAGCATCAGACTAAAGAAAACATCTCTACTTTTATCATTGCATTTTAAGACTTAAAAACTTGGGTTGATCATTTGCTTTAGTTTAATTGCAGATCCAAATGATACTAGTGCAAGCTGTATTAAAATAACCAGAATTAGGACACATTACATGTGTTCTCTGCAAGTTGAAAATGTTACTGGGTGTTACAAAATAAATGTGAGTTCTTAATTCACTTTTCTTGACACGCAGTTGCATCTTCTCAAGTTGCATTCGGTTATGGAGGAGCATCAGCTTCAATAAAATCATTTGGTCTTCCCAAAGGTGCAAGTCATAGTAGCAGAGAAACTTTCAATGGTATGCTATCCTTATATAAGATGTCTCACTAGTGATTGAGATGCATTTCATTCTGTTACAAAGTGTTGATGTTTCTGCAGGTGGTGTTCATACTCCAGGCTTGAGAAAGGAGAAAGAATACAAAGAACCGTGGGTATGTAAACTTTGGTTTGTTAATGCAAACCAAGATGACTTGCCTGTTTACTAGTTTTCTATTATACATTGTTTCCTCCCTCTTTGTATGTATATTATATTTGGTTTATTTGTTTTTCATTGTTCGGATGCTCCTGTAGGATTATTACAGTTATTATCCTGTAACACTTCCTATGAGGAGACCATACTCAGGAAATCCAGGTATGTGGTTACTTTCATTTTAAGAGCAAAAGGAAACTACCTACATTCTAAATATCAGGCGTGCACCATAATTCTGACAATAGAAATACCCATTTTGGAATGGACCAGACAGTGTTATTCACTTAACTGGTTCATATCTTATGGGTGGTTTGCTTGTAAGTTCAATCTTCTGTACTTCTTCTGGAGTTGAAATTTGAGTAGCTAGTATTAAATTTGCCATTGTAGAGTTTCTTGATGAGGAGGAGTTTGCTTCAGAGAATATAACTTATGATGAAAATTCAATGGAGCCAGCAATAGAGCTTGGTCTAATGGTTAGTAGTGTAATAAGTGAATCAAATATTATGATGTGCCTACTTTCTTTAAGCTGATTCTCACTGATGATTGGACACAGGAGGAGAACTTGGAACCAAGTATGTTATTTCTTCAGTTACCACCAACTGTACCTATGATAAAGCAAACAGGAAGCACAGCTGGGCATGAGGTTGATAGCAGCTCCAAGCCAACTGGGAGTGTAGGTTCTGTAAAGAAGACATGTGGCTTAGAAGAGTTACCTGCAGGTCTCATTGGTAAAATGCTAGTGTATAAAAGTGGTGCTGTCAAGTTGAAGTTAGGGGATACCCTTTATGATGTGAGTAACTTAACATTGCGAAAACCTTGTCATGCTAAAAGAATAAAAGTACCTAATAATTCATGCTCTTTTGGTTTCACTTAGAAGTTAGAACTCATAGATAGGATGCTTAATGGATTACTATGTTATTTGATTACGTGTAAAATTCATAGCTTTGATGTTTATGATGATTTCTCTGACTTGTCAAATGTTTTGCATTACAGCATGATAAACTTTTGTTGATTACCATTCTGAACTTTTTTGAACTGGTGCAGGTTACACCAGGTTTGAGTTGCGTGTTTTCCCAGGATGTTGTAGCTGTTAATACTGCAGAGAAGCAGTGTTGTGTTGTTGGGGAGCTTAATAAGCGTGCTGTTTTAACCCCAGATGTGGATTCAGTTTTGAGTAGTTTGGCTGATCTTTGATGGTTTTTGATACTTCGGATCTAGTTATTAGTTTACACAAGAAGAAATTGAGGGAACAAAATTATATGGTTATTTAAGATTGGTCATTGAAACAAAAACTTATTTATTCTTCAGGAAAAAGAATGTGAATACTCAGTCGATGTCTGGGGTTCAAATCCAGCTTGATTGCCAATATAAATGAACTATTGAATCAGTCAGATCGTCACAAAAACACTAATGAAATACACTAAACTAAATTCTACTAAGTAATTCTGCTGCTTATGCATCTGGATTTTTTACATTCATGTGAACTGCAAAAGAGTTGTCTTCCAAAAAATTCTATTGATTATGGCATAGGAGTAGTCAAAATCCCATCTGTTTGCCTGATCCTTTTGATTGTTGAGCTCAGTTCTGACTTCAGACGCTTGATTTCTGTTTTACATCTGGATTAATATTTTTATGACATTTAATCATTGTCATTGTCTCTCAGATTATCATAGGAAAAATGAACATAAGTTTTTCATTTGAATTTTTTTATAGTTCTTAATGTATCTTACTATTTATTTTACTTAGAAGATATTACATGTCTAAATGTCAATTTTAATAATCTGTCAATTGATCCAAGGTCAGATGATAGCTTTTCATTTGAATTTATCCAAGAAAAATACATCATTTTCTTCATCGTATTCGTTGATTCAAATGAGAACAGGAAACTTTAGAAAACTGGAACAACTGGGGTTGTCTTTTTCTTCTTATTGCATCGCTCGTGCAGAAATGCAACAAAGCCGTCAATTCTTATACCATCCAAAGTCGCCTTATGTCCTAAATACTTACACTGCTAATGTTAAAGAAAATTATGTCAGGCTAGGGTTGACAATTCAACATGTACCCATTGGGTTTGATCCAACTTGATTTTATAGGATCAATTTTTTTGTCTTAATCAGGTTTTGGAGGTGGGTATCCTTGAAAAAAAATTGATCTTTTTTTTATATTTATATATATTTTTATTGAATTAATTTTATATTTATATTTAAAAATAATATTAAATAATATTTTATTAATTTCAAATCAAATTGAATCGATTACAAATTTAAACATATATATATAAGAATCGAATCAAGTCAAGTTTAGATATAAAAAATAATATTTTAATATAGATTAAGTCATATCTAAATATTAAGCTTATAAAATTTGATGAAATTCAGGGTAAAAAAAACCCACCACAACCTTACATGTTGTCATGCCTGCTTGTGGCTGTCTGGCTGGCTTGAGAAGGAAAGGGACACACCCACAAACCAATGTGTGAATTATGAACCAAAAGGGCAACAACCCTTTTGCTCAACATGGATAATTTGGGTTACGTTTAGCCCAATTGGCTTCAAGCTAGAGTTTGGTTTAAATGCAAGAAAAAATGGCTTGAAAGTGTTCAGTCTTCTCGCCGTTCACGTTAAGTAAGATAACCGTGTATTTATATTTATTTATGTCTGTTAAATATAAAATATATTTTTTTATTTTTGTAAAACTTATATATAATTTTGGTAAAAATTTTAAATTTATTATTTTCATTTTTTATATAATTTTTATATCATATTATTATATTATATTTAAAATTATTAAATGTACTTTATATATATAATTACGAAACTTAAAAATATTTGCCTTAGTTAACTAAACGATAGGATCACCGAAGATACGATAAAATATTCACCAAAATTTTTGTATCCATTTAAAATTCCCATTTTTGCTAATAATAATTGTAACAGTATATTTGTCTCTGTAAGTACTGTCATTTTCATCTCAAGTTGAAATCAATTTATACCAACTACTCAACGCCCACTCGCAGCCATGGACCCAATTAATTCAAAGTAAGCTTGCCTTTTCCCTTTTATAGACGCAACTTGAAAGTGTTGCATTATAATGAAGGAAGCTTCCCAGGCATATCGTTGCGGCGAAGATTGCCTTTTTCTACGCACAAAGATGTAAAAGACTTATGAAAAGATATTACTTTCTTGAAAACTTAGATATTTTTAAACGAAATAAAAAAAATTAATTTAATTAATGTATATAGTTATTTTTAAAAAATATTATTTAATAATTTCAAATTTCAAATTTTAATATTTATAATTTTTTTTATCATTTAAGTTACGATCTTACTTATAAAAAAAAAAAAAAAGACCCATGGTGTGAAATTTAGTTTTCTGAATAGGAAAATAAAGAAAGAAAATAATTTTCAAGAGGGAAATGAATTAAAGGTACTATGGTATGATTAAGATGGGACAGTGAGAAAAAAGTTATTGCAAAACCAGATGTTCAATTCAATGGGCTTTTTATCTGACAAAATCAAACTACTGTATAGATTAAGACAATCGAATCATAACATATGGCTAATAACATTATGATCTTCAAACAAGTCATGGTCTGTCTTTGTCTAGTGTTACCTGTCCCCGATTAGATAAAACTTCTCTCAGTAATTTTGTTTAATTACTAAAAAACAAAACAATATTCTACACCATATATACATCAAAATCAGACAATATTCCTAAAGAAGACACGACAGGAGCAAAAGACTTTTCCACTCTTTCCTCTCTGTCCCACACCATTTCTCCCACCGCTTGCCATCCCATCTACAAGGTGTCCTTAAGATTCCTTATCTACAACAGCTTGCCAGAAACGTGGAACTGAGGGCACCCATCCCATTGTCTAGATTTCAAGTATGTGTCCCCCCCTAGACAGGCTCTGCAAATTTTTCTACGGAACCGGATTTTCGTACCGATGATTTCGTTAACTGCGATCAGTTGGTCGCAGAAGATCTGTTCGAGTATTAATTTGTGGTATCCTATTTATTTTTGTACAAGATAAATATTATACTTTAGCTTATGAATGTTATATGAAAATAATTATAGTTGGACTATTTAATTTTTTTCTCAATCAAAATAAAAATTTATTAAAACGTAATTAAAATGCTACAATTATTAGAATATCTTATTAAGTTTTAAGTTGATATCAAATTGAATTATAAAATAAATCCTAATCAATTTATAAGACAAGTATGTTAAAATATTGTCTTAATTTTAATAAAAATATATCTTAATTTAACATAAACAAATCAATACAATTTAATTTCTTTTTTATTGGTAAAGTATGTCAACACTTTGATAAGAAAATGAAACCCTAAAAATAAAGTTTTAAGATTTAAGAGAATTTAATGTTATATTAGTAATCCTAATATATTCATGTGGATGGATCAAACGAAAATTTAAAGTTCAACATTTCAATTTTATCCTTTTCAATGCCCAACTTATAAAACAAACTTTCTTTAAATTTAAAGTTGCTTTTTATCCTAATTTCATTTAAATTTTAGTATTTGAATTATGTTTAATTAAGTAGCAAGTTTATTGACAATACTAATTAATAATTGACTCAATTTTAAACGAACATGCACAAGTATATAATAATTTGGATGAAATTAAAAAATTCGTAAACTTTATTAGTTTATTTAGATAAATTTACATATTTTTATTATACTCAATTAAATTTTTAACTTTTAATTTATATTTATATAAATTTTTAACTTGTATTTAAATAAGTTTTTGATATATATTAATATTTTATTTAAAATAAAAACTTATATAAATATAAATTAAATAATAAAAATTTATTGGGATATAATTAAAAAATTATTTAAAGAATAGATAATTCAAAAAAATTTTAATATTTTAACCTAAATTATTATTATAAAGAATGGTCAGACGGTTAAGATAATTTAAGCAGACCTTGTCTCATTAAAAATAAAAAAATGAAAGCTTTTCCCCCACGTTCCTGACAAAAAAGAAGACAACTTGTATTTTATAATATACTAAAGACAGAAAATTTGACAACTACTCTACTTGAAAAGATACTGATTGAACGCGAGAAAAGGTTGCCTTTATAATTATTATTTTTCAATGGATCAGGGCCCCACGATATATACGCATGACTACCATGTCATTTAGAGCGAGACTATAAAAATGATGTGAAGTGTCGGTACCCTTTTTTTAACGAGTATATATTTGATGTATTATTGAATATAAATTTTATAAATTATTAGTATATTGTATAATATTATTTTATTAATAATTTTTTAAAAATAAAATTTATATATTTATTTATTAATGATGTGATAATTAATATATAAAATTTATGCATTTATTATAAACTCTATTTTTTTTTGTTTCAAATTCTTCTGTTCTTTATATGTCAATTATCACCTCCTCACGAAGAATTAGTCAATGAAAAGGCCCCATGATTTTTTTTTTTTTTGTAGTGGCATCAAGAAAGGCTCTCAATTTCTGAATTTCATAACGTCACTTCACAAACGTGTATAAAACATATATATATATATATATATATATTGAAAGACTTATATATGTAGGGTAATAAAACAAGAAAAACAAAATCATAGGTTGCGCCTTGACTTTTCATCATAGAAAACAAACACCTTATGTCCAATATGTCAGGATACCCAAGGTGTATGATTTTTTTTTTTTAGCGATAAAAAAAAGTTTAGGAGGAAAGAAAGTACTCTTGTCTCGTGACAGGCCGTTAATTTATAGATAAGATTTATAAAATTTTTGGGACTTTTCAAATTTAAAAGATCGTCTATTAATATAAGATTATGAGAGTTTAAATTTGAATATTTTATATTTAAGTTTTAACTTTTAATTATTTGCGTCAATTCTTATTTGCAGTTGTTCGAGCTTTTGTCTTATGCATAACTTGCCTCAAAACTCAAAAGCATCTTAAAAAATTTCACCCTGAATATTTGCCGTAAAACAATTTTTTTTTTCCTTGTGGCCAAGGCTGTAAAACTGATTCATGGTATATATACGAGTGACGCTCGCGCGATAACAAGAAGAAAAGAGAAAAGCTCTTTATTTTTGTTTGGCTGAGTCACAGCTAATTTTATGCACCATGATTTATTATTTAATTTAACAAGGTGATGAGCTGAAAACAAACAAACATCCCACGTGAAATGTGATTCAAAATTCGTCAGGATCACAGTCCTCGTTGAGCTAAAACCACCAAAAAAAAAAGTAGTAGCTGTAGAGTATTAAGATAGTTAATTATTTAGTCAGATGTTGTAGCATTTTTATTGTGTAGCCTCTCCGTTGTCAAGAAAGGGAGCCAAAGAATGGAGATTTGAACCCACATTTTGTTGAGCGTAGTGGCTGGAGGTCCAGTCCTGTTGCATTTCCTCTGAGAAACTGAGAGGCTGGTCCGGTGAAGGTGACAAAGCATTGCTGTAGTTAAGCTCACCCACATCAGAAAAACCGAAATTCAGGAGATCTGATAGACAAAACTCCCCCATGTTGAAGTCAAGCATAAAATCGGACAAATTAAAATCATTCTCTCCATTTTCAGCTATGGATGATACCACATAATTAGCTGGTGTAGATGCCGATGTTTGATTCGTTGGACAGTCCCAGTCTATTGAAGGCTTAACCTGTCTGTTACTGTCAAAAGGGCCTATTTTTTGTGGGTACTGAGGATTTATGAAAACTTTGGAGCACCTGATTGCCCTCGTTCGGACCACGTGTGACTGTGACGAAGTTCCACCAGTTGGGGCCAGTTGGGCAGCCTCACTTTTCTTCATAACTCTTCTATTAGATTTATTACGTTTCAAAGCTGCTGCTGAGTTATGGTGATGTTGAACCTTTTTCCCTAAGTTGGTGTTCCAGTAATTCTTTATTTCATTGTCTGTTCGCCCTGGAAGCCTCCCAGCTATCAAAGACCATCTACACAAGAATATTGTAAACACCATATATCAAAAGCTAGCTTTATCAGCAAGCAGTACATTGCTACTTCATCAAACTTTAAAAAACAGGAGTTGCATGGAAATTGCTTTAAATAAATTATGAAAGGAAGAACAAAGAACATGTCTATGAAAGAGAGAAAGAAGAGAGACCTGTTTCCCAAGAGCTTGTGAAGTCTGATGATAAGCTCTTCCTCATCTGCTGATATGTTGCCTCTTTTAATATCAGGTCTCAAATAGTTCAACCACCGAAGCCTACAACTTTTCCCACATCTCTTTAAACCTGTTACAAAGAAAAAAGATTACTACGTTTGACCCATTTCTTTTTTTCACTTTTCATTAATTTCCCTTACTTTGGAAGAGAAAACAAACCGAATTACACTGTTGGTCCCCTCTCCCTCCCCAAAAACATATATACCTGCTCTCTTGGGGAGATTTCTCCATCTGCCTTCACCATTTGCTTTAATATACTCTGTAAGAACTTTGTCTTCATGAGCAGTCCAAGCTCCTCTATTTAGGCCTTCCTTAGAACAACAAGGGCTCCTCCCCATTTGGCCCTTTCTCTCTCTTTCTCTCTCTCTCTCTCTCTCCGGAGCAGATGGGTCTGTTCTGAGTTTCTTTGTTCCAACTTTCTAATTGATTCTTGATACGCCTCCCTTCGTGCAGGGGATAATTTATAGCTGCTTTTTTTCTGATACTACTATATTATTTTTTTTATTTTATGAATTTCGGGGTGACTGTGGTTTCGTATTATGAAAACAATGTGGCAAATCTTATTTTATTTTTTTGTCTGCAAAATTAAATATAAAAATGGAAAAAAAATTATAAAATGGGCTTTTGCCCTACATGTGAAAAAGGGGCCACGTTTATTCCTCCGCATGGAACAATAATGACTTTAATTGTAGTATATAACATTTCTTAAAATTCATTGGCATTCTTCATAACTACCACGCAAATTAATTTTCTGCTCCCCTTGATGATGCAAGCCAGACTATTGAGGCAACCAATGCAAAAGCGACAAATATATATTGTGATATCCAAAATATTTCTTGATCTCTTTTCAACTTACTAGTATCGCTGTGTTTTGATCATGTTATTTTCTTTCCACACATTACTAACAGCTGAGACATGGGTGCAGCCGTAGGTTTTATCTTACCCTTTTTTTTTATTGCCAAAAGTAAATGACAGTAAGCCAAATCTGGCAAAAAATGAAGGATTTAAGTAGAAATCCCTTTCGTCCAACTTAGCTATCGAAAAGGAGAAAAAGGATATAAGTCCATACAATTGGTAAATATCTAAGAACCATAATTTATGCATATATGTGAAGGAGCTGTTGCTTGGAATGGTTTATTAATGGCATTTCAATTAGAGATGATATTTATAATTTGATTTTTGGTCCTCCAACGGCTCCTGTATAGTAATGCCGATACAAATTTAAAAGTAATTTGTTGGAATATACAATTAGATCAACCTAAAAAGACCATGATGGATGTTTGACTTTCACCTGCCATTCTTTACTTTTTTTTTTTTATTTGCTATCAAAAGAATTTTCCATTCCATTCAATGGCTCAAACTAACTTTCTTGCATTTGCCTTGGAAAGTTTGTTGCAAACCCCAGCCGCCCCCAGCTTCCCCTTCCCCATTTCAATTACAAAATGTACCAATGCGATAATTGGAGGGGTACTCTGTACCCAACACCATCTTAAAAGCTATGTTACTGACAAAAGTTTCCATCAAAATATAATTGTGCCTCACTTCAACATGGACCGTTCACGTCCCAATCATTACATCATTTCTGTATTTATTTACTATTTTAATTACTTGCTTAATATTACTTACTAGTAATTTGCTAGTTATAGTATATATATATATATATATATATATATATAATCAAAACAAAATTGAACAAATGGTTAAACTATAGTCAACAACCTTGTGGCCCCTATATATAATAATTCACAGATTGAGAACAATTTTGAAAGGAATATTTTATATATTTTTTTCATTATATAATATATATTTTTTATTTTTTATTTTTTTTGTTTAGGATCTTTCAATGTTTAATAATCACTTTAAATTTTGATTAATTCAGAATCAAATCTCATAAATAGAATAAATTTTTTAAATCTATTTTTTTTATTCATAAATTTTTTCCCTTTTTTCTCAATTTCTAGATAAATTAACCCTGTTCAAGTCTCCAATGCATAATATAACATTTGATTTAGGAGTTTGGGAGTTTTAAGCTCATAGTGCTTCGAGTACTGCTTGGGGCAATGATCTGCATGTTTACCTATATGCAATCATTATGTACTCTTTTTTTTTTTTTTTTCAGATGAAAAAAAAGAGACTAGAAGGCTTAATATAATTTAATGATGCAAACAAATCCAAAGTTTTATTCGATTTTTCCAAATGGTGAAGATTACCCTTTCACGTTTATAAAATTTATTTTCTTAACAAAATCATAATGATTTCTCTATCCTATTCCTATTACTTACATAAAAGAATTTCTTACAATTTTATTTGACTTGGGAAAATCAAATTATTTACATTGTTCCAAATTCAAGGAGCTCCTCATCAACAAGTTCAACCATAAAATTTCAAACAATAACCACAAAAAGAACAACATGTATGAAGCATGTGTATATATATATATATATATATATATATAAACTTAGCAATAATTACACAAAATTTCTTTTTTATGTAGAGAAATTTACACGAACAATAAGAAATAGTCATTTTGCATTCCATGAATCTTAATTAATCATTTCAGAATTCGAATTCTAGATCTTAAAATAATTAGACTCTCTAGTTTTAACAATCGGAATTTTTTCTTAAAGACTATAATTAGACTTGTAGTATTGAAAACAAACTTAAATCAACCTTGACTCATCAAATTAACAAGTTAAATCTGAACCATTTCAATTTAACAAACTTATCTAAGGATCTTATACTATAAAGAACTATAGGAGACTTGTGTTGACTTTAGACGCCAAAAAAAAAAAAGACGAAATTAATGCGATTTTGTAGGTATATACATGAACAATTGAACATGCATTTGTTGTGATTTGGCAAGAAATAACCATATTTCACCGTCTGTCGATATGGACATGAGGCCCTAATTTCCAACAGTAAATGCATTCTATTGTTCTAAAATATCCCTTGTTAGCTTCTGTTTCCTTCATTATTACCTATTATGAGTAGCAATACATAGCACTTGTTCTTTCTGGTTTCTAGTATTTGATCATTGTCAAAGTTAACCAAAACAAATTGGCTTTCTCTTCACTTTTGGGTACCGATTGAAGTTAAAAGTATTGACTCTGAAGCGATAAATACAATAATATAAAAGTAATATATCACAATATATTTATAGTAATAAAGAACAATTAACAACGTAGAAAAAAAATAAAAAATATTAAAATTTACATGAAAAACCCTCAAATGTAGAGAAAAAATCATGAATTACTAAAAAAAATTTCACTATTAAATAATTGATAAATAAAATTTTCACTAGGTAAAATTAAAACTAATCAACAACTTGAGAGATAATTGAAAAAATTTCACCAAATAGTTGACTCAACAAATATATCTTAGGTTTATTCTTAGAGAACTTCAAACCCGATCTCCACCGATCATAATATAAATACTAAATTATGAACTTGCTGATAAAATTTCAGTTTAATCGGATCACAGATCGACTTCCATTAAATCATCTCTCCTTTCTCATTTTTCTCTCTATCTTTTTTTGACTTATTTCTTTCTTTTTTGGTGCCACTCACTTTTTCACCTAAATAGCCCCCACTTATTTATTATTTAGGGCTTTTTATTCCTTGGTTAAAGACAAAAGGTTTTGGGCCTTTTAATTGGCCAAAAACGATGGGGCTGGACCTTATATTCTTAACAATCTCCCATTCTAGCCTAATTAAGAGGAGATCTATTACCATAGTAGTCTTATTTGAAACTTACTTTGGTTAAGGAATTCATTTTGGCCAGTTACTGCAGAGCTTAAATTTTTTTCTAGAAAGTGTCTTAGTTAACATATCTATTACATTCTTATCAGTATTAATTTTTTTTAACTGTATTTGTTGCTCCTCAATCACCAAATGCAACCAATGGTATCTAATATCAATATTCTTTGTTCTTGCATAGTATATGACATTCTTACTCAAATCTAAAGTACTTTGGTTATCACGAAACACCACATACTCATTTTGATTTTACCCAAATTTAAGAAAAAAATATTTTATCCAAAGTATTTTTTTACCTACTTCAGTTGCTGCAATATACTCAGTCTTTGTAGTTGATAAGACAACACACTTTTATAACTTAGATTGCGAAGACATAACTTCTCTTGCAAAACAAATATCCTAAAGTAGATTTTTAACCATCAAGATTATCTATAATGTCAGCATCAGTAAACTCTTCTAAAACTAGTTGTAAAGCTCCATAACTCAAATACATTTTTGAAATGCCCTTTAAATATCTGAAAATTTATTTCGTTACTTTTCAATGAACCTTTTCCCATATTTTAAAGAAGATTTTTCACTAAAACAATTGTATGAGCAATGTCAAACCATGTGCAAACCATAAGATACATTAAAAAATTGATTACAAAAAAATAAAGAATACTAGACATAATTAATTGCTCTTTCTTAGTCTTCGAACAAGATTTCTTACTCAAATAAAAATAGTTGGTAAGTGGACTGCTAATTGATTTAGCGTGTTGCATGTTTAATCTATTAAGCACTCATTCAACATATTTTTTTTAACAATCACAGCTTTTTAACTCTCATATCTCAGATAATATTCATATCGAAAATCTACTTTGCTAGACCTAAATCCTTCGTATCAAAAGACTTAGGCAATTTTTTTTTAACCTGCGAACGATACCAACATCTTATTTCACAATCAACATATAATAAGAAAATAATGAAGTTATCATTAAATTATTTTTAACATATACACAAAGATCCGTTGTTGTTCTTTTATAGCATGACTCACCATAAAAGAATCAACTTTTTTGTACCACTACCATAGAGTTTGTTTCAAGCCATACAAGTTTTTCTTTAGTTTGAAAACTAAGTGCTTGTTCTTTTTCACTTTAAAACCCTTAAGATGATCCATATAAATGTCCTCCTATAAGTCACCATACAAGAATACAGTCTTAACATCAAGTTACTCAAACCTAAGATTTAAACTAGTTACTTATTCTAGTACCATTCGAATGAAACTCATTTTTATAGCTGGAGAGAATATCTCATCAAAATCGATGTTAACTTTATGAGAAAAACCTTTTATTACTAATTGAGCTTTGTACCTCACCAGCTTGTCAACATCATTTTTTAGCTTGAACACCTATTTATTCTTCAATGGTCTTTTCCCTTTTGAAAGTTTAATAAAATCATAGTATCATTTTTTCGCAATGAGTCCATTTCTTATTTCATTACTTTAACCAATACTCTTTATTTGAAGTAGTCTGTACATCTTAAAAGCTTTTTTACTCTCTCTTACTGATAACTAAAATAAAATCTAAACTTAGATACCCAATAGA